TAGGCATTCAGAGAGAAATCTTGGTAACCTATTCAGGTTTCTGTTACAGGAAACAGAACAGTCCTAATGTCAATACTCTGGTATTTTTCATCTGAATTGCTTATCCTTCGCGTTCCTGATTGTAAATTTGTTTCTTGCAATTGCTTAAGTACTACCTATGCACAATATTGCTGTGATTCCTTTTGCTGCAGTATCCAGGGTGCTTAGATTATTTCAAGTTCCTTTCCGAGTTGTTGATAGCTCAGATTTAATCATCTTTGCATGTATGAAATAACTTATTTCAGTACATTATTCTAAATGGTCCTTTTCAGTACTGTTTTTCATAGACTTGTTCCTTTGAACGTGCAGGCCTTATCTGCAGCTTATCACTCTGCAAATTTGACTGTAGAAAAGGTTTCCTCTGCAGCCTTCCAAATAACTTTGGTAGTGCTGATAACAGCTTTCTCCTTTCAAAAAGTGATTCTGACACTTGCCCAGTTGGGTGTTAAAGCTTTGTTTAATGTCTTATCTCTTCCCTTGTGATGGGGTTATATTTGAATATTTGTTTTCATGATGGCTTTTTCAAACAGAGATCATAATTCTGTGAGTAAAAGTACTATATTGAACAGAAGTTTCTGAAAGAATGTAATGGAAGAACATAGTTTTAATTCAAATCTTGCCCACCTCTTGCAGGACTTTTTTTAACCACTTCCATGGGGAAAAAGGACCTTACGAACAATCAGGGATCAGTGCTTACTGATTCCATTGCATCTTTCAAAAGAACGCGCTACAGGAGATTCTGTGATGTTTCGAGTCCTAGTTTAGTCCTGGACTTACTGAAGAAAATGGTTTTGTGTACTTGTCCACAATGAAATAGTATGATCTTCCATGAAAGACATGTAAATTTCCCCTAGCCAAAAGAATTACTAGATTGACTTTAAACAACCATCTGTGCACTGCATTAGATAACTTCCTGCTAATATAACAGCAGTCCAACAGCTTCCTTATTTATGTTTTTTTAGTGATTATTCCCAGGATCGAGCGTACTCTTTCTTATATCATCACAGAACTGGATGAACGAGAGCGAGAGGAATTCTACAGGTAAATATCTAAAACAAGACTAGACTGGTCTCTTTTTCTCTAAATAGACCATTCTTCAGAAGGGACTTATGAGAACTGTTCACCAAATCTGGCAGTGAAGACTGTTAAATGTGACCTGGTTCTTACTGCACACTGAGTTGCCAGAGCTGAGCACTTGGAGATCTGCCATTACTTGTCTGAAAGTTACAAATGAATCCCTACCACTAGCTTGTACATAGCTGTCATTATCATTCTTCCAGACAGAATGATGGGATAAAGCAGAATGCCTTGGTGTACTGTAAGGACACCTCTACCATAGAGGTCAGTGTTTGGGGCTACCTGAAGCAAAAGTGTCAAACCTGAAATGAATTAAAGGAGAACTAACTTCATTAAAAACAAGCAGAGTAGTATAACAGTGTTTAAGGTCAAGAATATAATCTATAGTTTGGATGAAGAAATGAGTTAATCTGCAGAGATGAAGTTTTTCAATGGCAGCAGCTAGTGATAAAAGCCTTTTGCCATTTGTTACAGGATTTTCATTTCCTGGGGAACCTTCTCCAGGCAGCTTTATCATACCCAAGTTGTATGGCATCTTTGCTGCTAGCCTGTTTTATGAAGACATTTGTTTCACAGATAAACCACATTTCTCTTCACAGGTTAAAGAAGATCCAGGAAAAGAAAAAAGTATTGAAAGAAAAATCTGAGAAAGAACGGGAGCTGCGGAGGGCTGCTGGTAGGGAACGTGAACCAGCCAATCTCTTAGCAGAAGAGAAAGATGAAGACCTTCTCTTTGAGTAACCCAGCACAGTTGTTGCATATGGAGCAGGGGACCCAGAATACAGAACGTCCATTTGCAATATAATTCAGGACATGTTGCCTCAATGATACTTATGTGGCTTCTCAGTTGGTGTATAAGTCTTGAGTTGAATGGATTGTGGATTTCTCCTGGGAGATTAGAAATCTGGGAACTTGACTGCAGCACAGGAGGAAAAAGGAGAGACCAGTCAGGTGCTTTACTATCAGGAAAGCCGCCTGTTTCTTCACTTACTAGGAATGACTGTCCATAGCTGTGGTTTTTGCAGGACAGCTCTGGATTTGCTTAACCAGATTCCTCTTTAATTGCTCCCCTTCCTAGTGCAAGCAGAGGAAAACATTATTTAGGGAGGGAGATGCATGTGATGTTCTTTACTGCTGAACTATTAATGTTCAAGTTGCTTAAAGCAGGTATTGGCACAGCTGAAGTCAAATGTCAGTAAAGGCAACTCTCATTTTCTAACCTGTTGATGAAATCCACAGTCTTCTGTGATTTGTTTTTGTTGCACGATTGTTACCATTGGCCTAAAACATCTCTGGTTTTAATTAGAGGTTCTGCCAACTTGTGTACTGTCTGTGCTAGAAACAAGTAAAAATTTTAAGTGTTAAATATCTGGTGTCTGGCTTAAGTTGCTAGCAGATGGTGGTCTTAAAAGCTTGTCGTGTTGATTTCAAAATAAAACCTTTGCTTCATCACCTACCCCCAACTTAGAATCCACACTGGACACATCTCTTTTCAGCCTGTGCCCACATTCACTTAACCTTTACTCCTTTAGATAAGTAACCAAGGAGAATTGGCTTCTTCCTGACCCAAACACGTAGAAACTCTTCTCAACTATCCAGCTACACGTTGCTCCAAATCTTCATTGCAACCAGTAGGTTGGCAAGCAAAGCAGGGTTGAAAGTACAGCAGTCCATCCTTGCTGTGAATCTTCATGTCCTTTGCCGATTAGGGGAGTCTAGGAGAGTGGCTGATAAGCAGGCTGTCACTGAATGCTGCTCAGTTTGAAGGGCTCTTTTCCTAAAGACATTGGTTTGCAATCAGCAAACTGAACACATGCCATAGCAGTAGTACTAGTACATTGTCTCTAGTACTACTGGTCTCTTCAAGGCAAGCATCTTGTTTTAAACATGATCCAGCACTTAACTGCAGATGTAGGGTAAGTGCAAGGAAATGAATTTCTATTAACACCTTTAAAAAGTCATTTTATAACTGTACGAAGCACAAGGCCATTTCTTTTCTCTTTTGAAACTGAAGGCAGCACAGCTGAATAGTAAGTCCATCGTCTCTTGTAAGATACAGGTCCAGCTTGAAAGAGTGAAACTGTAGATCTGAGGACATCCTCTCCCACTGGACGCATGGTGTCAGAAGGAACAGAGAACATCCTCTAGGGCACTGATGGGTCACAGCACCTTTCACACATTCAGCAAAATGGCAGAAAGAAGACTCCCAAGATCCACTACAAGAAGTAAAATTGTACAGTGATTTATTTTAAATCTAGAAATATTTTACATTTTTACATTAGTGTGCAGTTCATGATGTCTCAAAATACAGAGTGCAGATACATGTATAAAACTACAATGTGGGGCTAACCACAGGTCTCAGTAAAGTTACCTTAATTATTTAAGGCATTAAACCCCCCATCTTATATTTTAAAAAGTCACATATAATTACATTCAAAAATTCTTTTATGCAATTCAGCTAACATTTATTTTTAATTAAATCTGGACTGGTAAAAATGCAGATACCCTCATTTCAGTCTGATACAGCTCACTACAAAGCCTGTGATAAGGTTGAAGAGTTTCACCAGTGAAGTTTGCATAGTCTCTTTTACTCTCAAGGGAATTAACACACGTTCTTCATTAAAGAAGGCAGAATAATTTCTTACACAAGGTAGTTCCAGGTCCAAACTGGCAGCAGCCAGCCAGCCAGGTACATTTCTCAGTGCTGCTCAAGCCTTTCCTTTCGGCAGGAGACAAAGCTAACATTGGTTATAAACTATCGTAGCACCTCTCTAACAGGGATGTCAGCAAGTACTATGTGCCTTGGGAATTAAGAGAGTAGAGCTGAACTTCAAGCAACGTTCTTTAAGTCTACATTCAAAAGCTTATTTGTATAAAAACAGCTTCTGTACACCATTTCAGAAAAACTGGGGAGACAAACATGAGTCAAATACATTAACAGCATGATTTACTGTGACTGACACTGCCTATGAACACGGAATGCCTAAGGGGGTTCAGCAACCATCTTGAGCTGATTGTGACTGCAAGAATTTGGACAGTACCTACGTAGCTGAGCTAGGTTACCCTTGACGAACACATTTTACTGCTTTCCACCTTCTTGTCCAACTATGAAACAGTCAATACCAAAAAGCCTAATACATCTACAATGATCTTTCTTAAAAAAGGGTAGAATCGATACAATATTTTGTCATCTATGAAACACTGACTATCCAATATACCCAAACATTGTAGTTGTCATAAACTATGGATTAAACTGAGAACGTGCCTGCAATGTGAGGCAAAAAGCCATTATTTTGAATATCCAGCCCGTAGGCCAACTGCTAGCACATTATTTCTAACACTGAATTGAACTAAAGATATTAAAGTTTCCAACCCCTTTTCTTTCTGAAGGGTCATTACTTATCCTCACTAATTGCTTAATTGCTTTTCAGCCCTAAATACTAATTAAACCAGCAAATAATTTCGCTTTCTAACAAGACACAAATGCACTCTATACTTCCATTTTTCAATACAAAAATGTACTGAATGTTAGTTCAGTAACTAGGATAGTTACCTGACAATTTCTTTGTATCTGCTGTATACTTTGAGCTCTCTATTAAACTATGGGTGTGAATTTGTTCCATTAACATTTGAAGAATATATGCAAGACAGAATGGGAAAAATCAACTTTTTCATCCTTCAACATTAAACAGGAGTGAACTACACATTGATGCAACTCCAGTGTTTTACCTGTAGTAACAAAGAAACACTACGGCTAAAATTAAGAGATATTCACAGTCAAGGTTCTTTGTGCTACCCAAAACCAAAACAGCCAAGATACTATTAGTTAGCTTCAGCGACAGAACAGCCCTACTGCAGATGCATAGCCTTACCCAAAACCAAAACAGCCAAGATACTATTACTCAGTTAGCTTCAGCGACAGAACAGCCCTACTGCAGATGCATAGCCTTAGTAGTTAAACCTTCACAGCTCAGAATCATTCGAGGATGCAGAGATGTTCCAATCTGCTTTGCAGAACACACTACGATACAGACAGACCTTGCCTTTTGTTCACTTCTTTCAAGTTTTTTTTGTTTGTTTTAACCATTACAAATATTCCCCTTTCTTATGACTTCTCAGTCAGTTACCAGTGTTTTACACATACTTTCACTGCAGTACTGAGCAAAGGCAGGACAATATGTTGGCTAGTGAATTACAATACTCATTTATAACGCAGTAGCTACATTCAGCTATTTTAATTCCAGTTAGTTATCCATTAGACCAACAGCCACAAGATGAACCACTTGCAGAGATTAAAAAACCCCACTATCTTCCAATGTTCAGCACATCAGTCTAGTTTAGTCAGTACTCTGTTATAAAACATGAGAACTTAAGTTGACTTTTAAGCAGCATGTCTTATAACTATATATTTTTCACAAAAATATAACCTCTGCCTTTCTAAATATCTCTACAGATCTGTGGAAAACAGCGGCTCCAATTGGTCAATATCTTTTAAAGAAAATTCCATAAAAATATCACATCTAAAAGATCAATATAATATTCATCTTTGATTGGACCTAAAATTAATGTGCAGTCAAATCTGATTTAAAAAGTCTTGACTAAAAAGACATAAGGGTTGAAATATTTACATTATACACATTTTCCAATTACAGTGCTATTAGAAAATGGAATGTTTTGGGAATTAAAGAATGTTTTGAGAATTAAAATATTAACTCAAGCCTCACAGGGCAGCTCCAGACCAGAGCGGCATCTTCATTCTGTGTATTTTTTGAACAGGAGAGATTTCTCATTAACGTTTTTCACGTGTAGATTATTTCTCTGCCCAATGATCTGTAGAATTATTCTCCTGAACTACCATCATGTCCCACAAAGTCATTAAGTTAAGTGTTAAATAACATTCATATTTATAACTATGTGACAGCATAGACTGTATATATACACACACTTAAAAATCTTTGATTTCATAAGGGTGATTCTAGGTAAAAAAGGTGGATTTATGTATAAAAGTAGTTACTAGAAAAATCTATCTAAAGCTTTAGAATTTAGTACTGACAAGGTCTCCATTTCTAGACCACAGAGAAAGAAAACTTGGACAATCATTAGATCAGTTAAATCGGCTCACAAGCTGATAAGCGTATTTTTTCAATAATACGCAATTTCACTAGCAAATGATGCAGCCACTGAGGTCTAGAGCTCACGCATTTATACTAGAATTGGACAGACCTACACACGATCTCCTTGGAAAGATTACTAGATTGAAGTCCATTTGTCCCTTGGAATTGCTCTCTCATCGTAGCCAGGTAGAGGGCACCCACTGGGGTTCTGTGTCAAGTTTGTTTATTAACCGAAGTAACTCTTGATACGCCTTATCAAGATCAGAATTCACAACTGCGGTATCAAAGTAGTGGCCATTGTTCTGTTCCATTTCCCTTGTCTTCTCTATGATTTCTCTCAGCTCTTCTGGCTGCAATCAAAAACAGAATTAGTGTACGTGTGTAATTCTCCCCCACAGCCACAGAGTAGGGAAAGGTAACAACTCGACTCAGAAAAGTCTTTTACACAAATTTTCATGGTATTACTACCAGCTATTGAAAAGTTTACAATAACATTGAACCATGATACATATTTGAAAGCTAAGGGCATTCAAGACAATCCTTTCTGATTGGCCATAAGTGGCAAACCAGCAAATAACTGTCCCAGACCGAAGTAAACGAAGAAGATCTAGCACTGCGCATTTTATGACATTCATCTTACTGAGGCTCTTAAATCACATTTCTGAAAAATAAGTTAGATTGCTGAGCCCATTATCATTCTGAAAAAGACTGGAGATGGCAGAGAGAGTGTGAGAATAAGTTTGAATGGCGTAGAACAAGACAGCGTTCCTCTGAAGATGTAGCACTACAAACACCAAACAGCCAAAGGCAACAGCTATCATTGAAGTATTTTCACCAATAAACAGCAATGAGAACCACAGTGAGCGCTATATATTTAAGTTGATCAAATCACCATAGCATCAGGTAAATGACATTGCAGAAAAGTGGAAAACATGATTTGGGAGCTGGAAGGAAGTATGTTAAAAGCAAGAATATTGCAGATATAGATAAATGATGCAGAGGGAGAAGTAGAAATGGCTTGTTTTACTTCAGATTTTTTTGTTTACACTTGGATTCTAAAAGTGTGTGTGTTTTTCTCTTCTGCAGCTTATTTTTGTATTACAAAGGAGTATTCAGGTATAATTTTTGAGATAATTTTCTAAAGAGGATATTCTCAAAAGGGACTTCAGGCCTTCAAGATTTTTTTTCTAGGCACTATACACACTTAAGAAAAATCAAGGCCACATACAGGCATACATGCAAGAAATACCCTTTTCTTTATGAGGGGAAGGGGTTTAACATAGTGGCGTTTACCCAACTGAAATAAATACAACTCCAATAAGATTAATCAGAAAGAAAACAGGCATAGTTTAACACCAATAACAGTGTATTAATTTTTATTGCAAATGGATTCCTTGATTACTGCAATAAAAAAACCAGGACATACATAAGATGAAGTATTTCCCTAAAATAAAGTTTCATTCATTGCATAACCACGAAGGAGGAAGCATGCCCTTTTAAAGTCCACGATTATATTTGACTCAGGCAAATAAAAATAAAAAAAGAAAAAAAAAAAAAGAAAAATCTCTCTGTTTAAAGACTTGGACTTTAATGAACTTTTAGATCTTATATCCAGGCAATACACCACCCTTGTACCAAACAAGGAAAGCAAAACAACACAGCCGTAGAACACAGTGAGGTACAATTCCTGACCAACAGCTGTATCAGGAGTCCCTTTGAGTTACGCTGGGAAGACTGTTCTTCCTCAGTATGAGCTGCATTATGTTCAATTAGTACTTTGAAGACTCTATGGTGGCAAAGTGCTCCCACCAACCACTGTAGGGTAGATTTCAGTTAAAAAGCTGAAGATCAACACATTTCATTATCCTAGCAATAAGTACTTTGTATCTCATAAGCTGGTAAGGACCTTTTCTGAGCTTTCAGACATCCTGGTTTAATCTATGGGTTTCAATTCCATTCTGCAGAACTAACTTCTCATTAACTAAGCGATCTGAACTGGATAAGTTGAGATCTTGACATGACTCTGGTTGAAACATGAAAAGTGATCCTACAGGATCAAGATCAAAATAACTTTATCTGAAGAGTTTTGGAATACATTTTCAAGTAAATGCTTTTCCAAGGGCAGATAAGTTCTCAAAAGAAAAACAATAATCATTTGCTCCCTAGAATTACTCTTAGGTTTACTTGAAGACAAGGTTGGGTTTTCCACAGTTTTGAAATAAAGGGTCATATTTTTGTACCCAAATGCAAGGGCCACAACTGAGACATTGTGCCCCAGGATTATTAAATTAGCAGTGGATTCCCTTGCCTCATACCTCTCACATTCCATGAGGTGAAAGCATCCTGAGCTCTTCCCTTAGTATGGTCTGCCTACTAATCTGGAGCACACAGATCTCAACTACACCACTTCCCATATATTGTCAGTACTATTACCATCTCCCAATTCCAAACAGAGTATACAAATTTGTTTACCAAAAGCATTCCAGACCTGTAAATAAAAAGCAGCATGGTTTCAGAAGAAGCGTTGGACACATTACCTTTGGGTTTTTCCCTTCTTTGGCCAATAAAGCACGTAATCTCTCTTGTGAAGGTGGTGCAACAAATATTATGTATGGCTTCAAGTCAGAATTACGTAGTGTCTTCAGTGACTGCAGAAATAGGATTTATTAAATATTTAACAGTTCCACACGACAAGGGCATTTAATAATGCATTATTCACATGCTATAATTGATAATATACTCTTCAAACACAGTGACAATTGTACAATATATTAACAGCAGTATAATTAACCGTAACAGTATTATCATTACCACTCATGAGTTCAGTCACCATTTCCTACAAAATTGATATTCCAACATTTTTCATCTTCGTGGAACCCAAACATTTACTTTTGTTCAAGAATATTCTTCGTAACTAAACTGAAGGAACATATCTTTTGGTATGCAAAAGGAAAAAAAAAAGTCACCTACCTTGAAGTAAGTTTCCTTGCAATGCTAAGGAATGGTATCAGCTTTTAACAGAGAGAGGAGTCTTTAAATACTACAGTTTACTTTAAATACTACAGCTTAACCTTTTCTGTTTTGAAGATTAAAAAACAAGGTATCAGATCCACTACTACTGTATGCTTAGCATATTTTTTTGGCAGGTTACATTTGTATTAAGAGACAGGAAATAAAAAGAACCAAACTGTAGTTTGATTTTTCCAAAAGGTTCCCTCTATGTGTCTCGGGACAAACAACTTGTCTCCGAGATATATTTTTATAACCACAGAATTAGATCAATTTTCAAAGTATTATGAATTTTCAGCTTATTACAGGCTTTGCGATACCCATGAGCTATTCTAAAGTACCACGTGGTCCCAACTGGTGATGGCTAATTATAGCTTCAATACTACCAGACTTTACTGACGTGTCTGAGTTTTAGGGCTTCTTTTGCAGCATCTGTAACAGCAGCAGACCTCATACATATCGTATGTATTAGAAATGGGCTGTGTTCCAGGACTCTGCCTCTTCCCACGTTTGACTAAATTTCCAAGTTGAGGTCTGTATGCATAGTTTATCCCTTCTTTCTCCATAATCAAAAGGTCATAGGTAAAGAGCGTTCCAATATTGTTGATGTGATATACTTTAATCCTATCTGTTATGGAACTGCATAAACTTCCCCAAAATGCAGTTTCCAAGTATAATCACAAACAACTTCCTCTCCACCTTCAAAAACCTCAGAGCTCACAGAGTAATTGGAAGACTGAGAGACACAAATCTTATTTAGTTTTTCAATTCAGATGGTTTCCAGATACTTGAAGCCGGTGAGAACTAAGGCCCCTATTACCTTTAGCACAGATAAAGAAGATGCGTATATTTCCAAACAAGGAACAAGAAGGCTGTACTCATAACACACTAAATGGAGTTAACTGAGCACCACTGAAAGAAAACTTGGAATAAACATGAAAATGGACCTTGAAAACACATTCTTTTATATAAACCAAATACAGCTCTTTAGATTTTCACAGTAGCTTCTGCAATTAAAATACGACAGGCAACAGCTTTGCCATACCTGGGTATGAAGATTTAAAAGGCATATCTTGCCAGAGTTGATTACTTGCCGCACAGAGTCTATGCTAGTACCATAAAGGTTCTTTTCAAACTCTCCATATTCAATGAACTTCCCTGCAGCTATGTCACTCTCAAATGCCTGTCGGGAAATGAAATGGTAATCCCTGCCAGCTACTTCAGTCTCTCGCCTGCTCCGAGTAGTATCTACAAACAAGAGCAACAAAAAAGAAATCAAGACAGTGATACACCTGTAGAACTGAAGAGGAGAAATAAGTATTTCTCTTAGGAGAGACACTGCTAACCAAGCAAAAAAAGGCACTTGAAATATCCAAGAAATGCAAGTATTTTATTTTCTACAATAAACATCCCTGGACAGATTAAGTTGCCAAAGGCTGAACCTACATTTAGAGGTCTTGTTTACATTATCTAGAAGAAAAAAAAATAGTCAACAAGGAAAGGAATAGTTTCATCTGTGCAGCTGCATTCTGGATGTGAAAACAGCTATTAGTTGTTTATAACAAGTTATATTGTTAAGCTGTTTGTAAACCTAATTTAGGGTACATTACACATTAAAAATATAAAATTCACTGAAACGTAAGTGGTTTGGGAAGGCACTAAAGCCACCTAAGTTTAAATTTATGCAGGATATGTAGGTTAAAAATTCTTTGACCGATGTACTAGTTTCTTTTTTAAACTTCTGTAACTCACTCCAATTTTATTCAAACTGAAATATACGCATGTCTTATAATGCCTCTATAACACTGTGTTGGGACACTGGATTTGCATTGACTTACCAAAGCTACTTTTCGCCACACAAGATGTAACTTTATTTGTCCTTTATCCAAGAGCTGACTATATCCTGCTCAAACCCCTCAAACTCGTAATTGCTGTTTTCAACACAAAAGGATTTGTCTGCAGACAATGTTTAGAATAAGCAATTGTATCTGTCCATCAAACTTACGGGGAACTGCAGAGGCAAAGCGATCTACTTCGTTATTCATAAGTCGCTGCCGCAATTCATTCTGGCCACAGTTCTGTGGGCCGATCAGAACAATAGGCCGTTTCCTATTTGCTGGTTGATGATACAGTGACATTTCCTCATAGGTCAGAATTTCCTCATTGTCATAATCTTGAGGGAGGAACAATAAAATAGTCACAACATACTTTACTGCTAGTTGCATGTATTGCCCGTCATGTGGTATCAAGTTTCAGGCAGCTCCTGACTCTCTGCCCAGCATCTAACTGCAAGTCACCAAAGCAACAGAACCCCAAAGATCATCACTTGCACAGTAAGATAAGGCTTCCCCCCCCCCTCCTTTCTGGAGAAAGAAATGTGTTTCCACTTACTGCTGATATAAGTAGTAGCATAAACTCAGGAAACAACTTTCTTGCCAAGGAACAAGTTTCTAGTACAAGAATAACACTTTATGCCCAACAACAACAACCGTCATCCCAATCCCAAAGTACTTTTGTAAGAATATAGTACAAATAGCCTACAAACTCTCTGTGGAGAAAGTTTCCATTTACTAAACTTAATTATGCAGAGTGAGATGATACTACAAAACCATAATAAATTGGTTCATCATTGTAAAATTATGAGTGCTTCCATGACTAAAAAGCTATCTTTTTTCACCCCATCATCTGGTTTTTATTAAAGACTAAATGACCCTACAAATTCTGCCACCTCTTTTACATTTTTCACTACATGCTATTACAAGCCATACTACTGCTCCCAAACAGAACATAATCAGGCAGTATTTCTAACATCATATCCTGAATTTCAGCATTCTTTTCACAAGGCTATTTGTAGAATCTTTTATAGTTGCTTCTAAGTGCACACACTGTGCAAAAGATGTTGCTTACCATCATTTTTATTTGCATTGTATAAAACCTTTTTCCGTTTCTTTTTGTTTTTCTTCGCGCACCAGAGTTTTCCTAACCAAAATAAAAATCATCACAATCAAATACCCATACAGTAAAAAGCTTCTCATCCCACCCACTATCTGGATCTTTAAAGTGGAGAATTTATTCTGCAGTTTTGAAAAGGCTTAATATTCTTCAGTTCATTACAACGGTTTGGTGTATTAAGCAAATGTCGCATGCCAAGGTCTTCAACTGAGTCATGGCAGATACAATTCTTTAAGAAAAAAGGGGCTTTCCAGATTCCCCTACATCATCCTAATTACATTGCACATAGTTATGAAAAAAAACCACGTGATTTATGCAACAAAGTGCTAAATTCAGACCTGTATTTACATGAAGAATTTCAAAGACTCATCCCGCTTGTATTACAAAAAAATGGAAGAATTTTCCACAACTCTACAATGACAAGGTTCCAGATATCACTAATTAGCACCTCTTATAGAGTTAGATTGTTTTTCCTTGGAAAGCATATACCCAACCTGATTTTTCTGGCTCCTTGTCTTCTTCTATGGTTTGCTTCATTGCTTCTCTTTGTTGCTGAAAACTTTTTCCTTAATACAATTTAAAAAAAAAGTACAAAAGCAGTTAAAATTTAGAAACTATTTCCATACTTTTTTTGTAATGACTCACTCATTTTACTTTTTCCTAAGCTTTTACATCTTTCAAGGTTGTAGTAGAATATGACATAAGAGAAATTTAAAAAGATTTAATTTAAATTTAAAAAGTTTTAATTAAAACTTAAAAAGAGAAACTAAAATTGCTGCAAAGCCTGTTTATTGCTTCAAAAATACATTAATCAAGAAAGACTTTGCAGAGCATTTGTACTATTCTGGACAGTTTTGCCTGGAAAATTGAAACTACTGGGAAGACTACATTTCTCCACTATGATGATATGGTTTTCTAATTATTTTTGTATGTTAAATGTGTTCTATTTATACTAAATCTTTTGAACTTCAGCTTGAAAAAGATTAGCCTATATTTAAATCGGCGTTCCTCTCAACTTACTCAAATGTCAAAGTAACAGTGTGATATTCTATGGAATTTGAAAAGTTTTTTGTTCACTGTGTTCAACAGATCAGCAGATCTTTAATGGACTAGAGTGCAGTACATATTTCAATGCAAAAATTATATACTGACTTCAGTTGTCTGAAAACCCTATTACTCAAAGGCCCCCAGCAGTTAGAAAGGAAGCATGACTGTTACAAGTAACCAAAGCTTTTTGCTAAGTGAAAACTTGCAGAAGAGTTACCACGAAGAGAGAAACATTTTTCCATTTTTCAAGTATACTAAATATAGTAAGAAACCTAACAGCTGCTCTCATTTCCAGAGAACAAGCAGGCTGAAGTCCCACGTTTCTGCCATAGCCAGCAGAGGGAACTCTGAATCCACAGAGTCCCCAAGGTGGAGGAATAAAGGAAGAGGAGAGTAGCTCTTGAAAGGTGAACTGCAGTGGAAGTGGTAGGTTTACTCTGCATTTAGCATCTGTACACATGGAGATGCCTCTAAAAGGTCAACCTTTTAAGTAAGTGAATTACATAACCAACAGCGAGCTCTGTTGCAAAAGGTTCAAAGTCACAGATATTTAACGTAATGGATACTTAAGAGTATACGAGTCTCTGAAAACCAGAATATTGCCCCTATGGCTATGGGAACAACTGGCTGTCAAGCTTTTTCTAGAGCTTTATTTACCAGGGATAAGGCCTGCCAGTGGCTGATTATCTTCATCTCCATCTCTGTAAGCCTGCCACCAGTTTGGATCTTCTTGGCTGATCACATGGAGTATATCTCCTTTTTGAAAAGATAGGCCTAACTCTCGGCAGGGGACGTAAGGGTCATCAGAGGGATCATAGTCAAAATGCGCTTTCACATGTATCTGTGGAAGATCAAACGTAAAAATAGAGGAAAAAAAACCTGTGACTTCTGAAGAATTACACCCCATCCTCCTGTGACTGCAGTGGAGCTCCGATATATAAAACCACCAAGATCCTATAAAATGGAAACTTTATCTGGGGCATACAGGAGATACTGGGATGGAATCGTTACCTAGCTTAGGAACGGAAAAGACAGTCGTGCTAGGTTGGAGATGAAGGCCTGTATTTAACTCTTGTTAATTCTAAAGTCTATGCAATTTCCTCGCCATTTTAGGACGCAAAAACCCCTGAGCTACTGATTTAAGTTCTTTGCATTCAAAAAGTATCAGAGATGTTCTGATTTGTTTATAATACATACACAGATTGAAACCCTTTGCTAGGCTTTAGGTGAAGTTTCACTTGTAAAATATTTTACTTTGTCACCAACCATTAATGTTTTTGTTTGGCTGTGATATAAATCTGTGGATTCTTTCTTCAAACTGTTAAAGCTGACTCAAGGAAAGTCTGTTAGCTAAAAAGACAATGAACAAAGTTTCCAGTATACAGACTTTTCCTCCCAAAGCATATTTGCAAGTTCCAGCATTCCAATTTTTATATGTGTATATATATATATAAAAAAAAAATAGAGAAACTGAGAATTTCAAAATAGAATTTCAGAAGCACAGGTGGTTCTACTTTTATAATTTCTTACTATTTTAGAAACTGAGTTAAAATCATACTAAGAGTTTCAGCTTAACACCATCTATCATTTTCAATAGTTAATTCAGGTGTTAGTCTGGTAACAATTAAACCAATTTAAACAATTTTTTGTTTTTGTTCTACAATGTAAATGACCTACAGAAGAACTTTCTACACATTACTGGAAAAACAAGGTATTTATCACCAAGCTCATGAACTTATGTAGAGCTACTTACAACTGTCTCCTTCGCAGGAGGTGGCTTGCTCTGCTGACTGGGAATCAATACAAAGGTCAGAGTACCGTGCATGTCAGCCTGAGATGAAAAATACACTCTTCATATACAGTATCAAAATATGGCTTAAGGTTAAGAATTTTAATAAACAACATATTTTAGAAAATGCTTCAAAAATTCCCATAAAAGGCAGTTCCTAACAGCACATCATCTACCCCTTAACTGGTTTAAAAGATATAGTACAGACACAGATGCAGTGATTCAGCGACAGGCTAGAAAGCCAAATGTTGATATTCAGATTTTAAAAGCCCAGCATTCTTGATTATACATAAACTATTTCTATTTGAAATGGAGCAGCTGCAATTCTGTCAAGCAGAGACTTAGAAGAAATGGAAAATAATATTCTCTTGTCCTGTTCAAAAATACCAACAAGTGGATCTATGCTGGGAAGAAAAAAAATATATAAAATATTATTATTTTTCTAAAATTGCTTAAGTGGAACAGTGTTTTCAAATCTAAACATTTCTACTATGATTTTGTGCTGTTAGCATTATTAAAGTATACAAAACACTGTTTAAAAATTTAACTAACACACTCAAATCCTGCATCTGCAAAGTACTTAATATCAATATTGCAATCACCCCCCTAAGAAAGTAGAACATAATAAATGTCCTGGCTTTAAAGAATTTTTATTTGTTTTCATACTCTTGTATACAGAGTGTGTTTGCACGCATAACGAGTATCTAGATAAAATGCAAGTGCCAACCCGTGACAAGGTCTACACGGGTCTCACTTCTTCCTATACATCATTCCATGAACCGTAACACAACAATTTATGTTGCATAAAAGCAAAGCGTATGCATGTGTATCAAAAAATTCAGACCTAAGGCTTAAATAAAGTAACCATAACTGAGCATAACATGATTAGTCTGCAGGAAAGGAAAATCCACAATTTTCAGTCAGCATGCATAGTTCCACTAGGAATGCATAGAATTTCACAGTGATTGTGTGAAGAGTCTTGTCTAAAGTCATGCGCAGTTTATCATCATTTGAGTAGCAAGTGGTGAGACAAAATTAAGAAGGAAAGTAATTTCCTTCTGTGCTTCTTTTAAGTCTTTTGGGGGGACTGAAGCATTTTAAAACTTTAATCCCACATTACAAAATACAAAAGACAACATACAAAGAATTAAAAATATTATTTTAAATTAATGATTTTAAAAATACATTTTAAAAATGAATTTTTAAAAAAAATTTCAGCAAATAATTTTCTCTTATGTTAACGTATTGTGGTTTTAAATCTTTTATTCTGTAACTCTAGGTTGCAGGAGCTGCACAAGAGCAGAACAATCTCTCTGCAGAGAACTAAACTGCCAGAGTTGAATTATCTGTCAAGCATCTCCAAAACACTCTTTTCAGAAGCACAGGGCTTAGCTAAATATGGCTTTTTAAAAAAAAAAAAATACAGATGGCCATGGAGACAATTACAGAGCGTGAAGAATCTCAGATATCTCTGATCCAAAAAACACACGGAGATTGAAGGCTTTTCAAATAACTGTAAGAATCTTTTTAAATGGCTTAAAAAAACCCCAAACAAACCACAAAACCCCCACACATTTCTGCCTCTACTTCCCTCCACTTGACCTCATTCCATGCATTAGCTGAAAAATTTTAACAGCAAATTTCAGAAAAAAATCCAACTAAAGGTGTAAATTGTCCATTAAAAAATACAGTCTTACTGTAGCATGAGACAACTTCATCTATGGATATTGCTGCCTATTCTTCCTAAAATAATGCAACCTACAGCAGAACCCACGTCTTTGTCCTGATTTTGATTCACCTATAGAGCATAGATCTAAGTAATTCAAAGATTTACTAAATATATTTCTCATTTTTTCCCCCCAAAGACCCTATTAAATAAATGCTAGTGATACAAAACATTGGAAATATCCAAAGTTATAAATTAACTTTTTAAAAAATTGTCATTTTCATCTGTTTTCACTTTGACAGAATGGTCTTGCCTGCTGCAATCAGACCAAAGATTCATAGTCACGTTCCAGATGACCCATCTTGGACACTGATTAACAGCAGGTGCTGGGAAAAAGCATGAGAAAAGAGCAATATTGGGCAACAGAAAATACTGGTAATTCCCAGCTTTTGACACTCTACCTCACAGGGTCTTTCAGAGAGAGTACCTCTGCATTTACTAGTTCCTGATGGATTTCTTGCCTGTTGTACTGACTAGGTGCTTTTGAACTGATGTATAATTTTGTCATGAATGGAAAAAGTGTAGTAAACAGAAAAATGTCTATGCTGGTAAACTGCTAGACAAAACGGCTTTTATCAGGAGGGAAAAAGTAAGAAGTCTAGTCATGTAAAGGTCCCGTTGTGATACCATTTGTTGTGGGTTAAGTCTGGCCAGCAACTAAGCACCCACCAGCTCCTCACTCACTCCCCTTCCCCAGCAGGATGGGGGAGAGAATCGGAAGACCAAAAGCAAGAAAAACTCATGGGTCAAGGTAAAGGCAGTTTAATAAGTGAAGGGAAAAAAACCCAACCCAACAAGTGATACAAAGGCAATCACTCACCACCCAGTTTTTATTGCTCAGCATGATGTTATATGGCATGATATATCACTGTGGTCAATTTGGGTCAGCTGTACCAGCTATGTCCCCTCCCAACCTCTCACTCGCCCCTAGCCTACTTGCAGGCAGGGGACAGAGTGAGAAACAGAGAAGGCCTTGACTCTGTGCAAGCACTGTTCAGGAACAGCTAAAACATTGGTGCATTGTCAACACTGTTTCAGTCTAAAACTGGCCCAAAACACAGCATCATACAAGCTGCTAGAAAATTACCTCCATCCCAGCCAGACACTACCATAATCACACAGCCATACATTTATTAATTGTGGACTCAACCAGAGACAAAGATGAAAAATCACGGCTTTTCAGAGCTAAACAAAGTTGTTCTTAGAAATCATTAAAAGCAAGTCTCAAGATGATAGCTTGACTCTTCCACATTTGTAGGCTTCATTTTTGCAGATAACTGCCATTATACTTATTAATATCATACTATGCATCAGAAAGAAAACTTGAAATGGCCCTCCACATATAAAGACTAGCTATCAGAATGAAAATACTTTTAAACTAATGCTAAATATGAGTACAAATGACAAGCAGAGCCAACAGGCTTCAGTCTTATGAAATCAGTATTTTTTGCAGGGAAAACAAGAAGTGTCCAACTCACCAACAGGTCAAAAACTTCATTAACATCTTTTCCACGAATCTCAATGCCATTAATCTCCAGAACTTCGTCCCCTTCATGTAACAGCCCACTCTTCTCTGCAGCACCTCCTTTCACTATTCGACTAATGATAACAGAATCCATTTCATTGCGAACAGTAGCACCCTGCGTAGTAACAACACATTCTGAATTTACTATATCTATGAAACTCAAAGCCATCTATTGTATATATTCCAAGCGAGTGGAGAAACATTTTTATATTGAAAGAGAATGCAACTAACAGCTCGGATGCATACACCCAATGCTCCAGTTTAAAAAAACCACCACTTAATTTCTTTAAGCTGCACTAAAGATTGAAGAACTGAATTGCTCCACACCATGAGATTCATGATTTTTTCAAAAACGTTTTCCTAAGGAAACACTTATTTGAAAGATGCAAAATAGAAGATGAGAGTTGCTAAAAAAAAAAACAAACATGGTTGGCACAAGGCTATAAGCTCCCCTGCAGCAAAGCTTGGGATAGCAACTTCTGTCAAGAAGTCCTGTCCAAGCCCAAGTTGACAGAAGTTGTACAGATTCTAAATGGTAGTATGGCTACTGCTACATGAAGATACACCCAAGTTTATCGTCTGTGACTATTTCTCATTTTGGAGGGAGGGAGAGTGTTTACAAGTTAAACATCACCTCCACAGTCAAATTCCAAAACTTTCATAGCAATCTTCAAAGGACAAAAAAAGCTTACCTCCTTTATATATAACCCAGTGAGTATCAGTACTTACCAAGGGAATATCCCGAGCTTTCTCAATGCGAACTATTTTAACCGTCTCCCCTCCATACACGCCAACATTTTCATAAATTTTTTCATCTGTCACAGGCTCTGGTTGCATTTCTTGTTCCGCAACCTTATCATGAGCCAGTAAAAGTGCCTAGTGTTAAACAAAATCAGCTCAGTTATAAAGTGTGAAATTTTCTGTATGTATACAAAATAGTAGAGTTTAATGGAGTTCTGCAATTTGAATAGTCTTTGCAGGTTATAGAATATTGCAAGCTGACTCAAGCAATAAAAAAAGATCATTTATCACAGCTATGTAGCACCTACTGCTACATACTTTCCAAAACTTTCCTTTCAGATTGGAAAAGAATAAAAAAGCAATTTTGGACACACAACTGTGACTGTACTTACAGCTTCTCCTTCCTAAAAAACCAGATATTGGTTTACTATGTATGTGACTGAGGATACAGACGTAAGAAGTTACTGCAGTGAAAACTACTCATGGATTTACATCACCACCACAGGACAAAATTTCCTTTATGCACCCTATGGTAAGCATGAAACAGCTGCCAAATTAAAAAAAAACCACAGATAAGCAAAAGCAGCTCATGTGTTGCCCTGACCCTACTGATCTACTGCTACATTGTTTATGTGCAAACTACCCTGTAATACATGTAGAATTTAGCAAGGGCTGAATACAGTCATGCACTACACCTGATGCAAAGTTTCCATTAGGTGCTGGAAATTGGAAACTTCTCATCCTAGAAAAATATTGAGAGATTTGCACAGAGTTGAAGAATAAAATCCACCCTTGCTCAGTCAGCCCAAAACATTTGCAAAAAATAAGTTATACTGAAAACAGCATCAAGAAATACATCCCATAGATTAGAAGTTCCATTTTGTTTTACCTGCATGTGAGGGGCATTCAGCAAAGCATTAAGCTCCTGCCCATCCTTGTGGTGACTGGGTTTCAAAACACTCTGTACCTAAAAAGAAATCAAGTAGTAAAACTCTTAATCTACCCAGTGATTTATCAATCCTCTCTCCCCTACTCAAGCACAAACCCTAGTTGCAATTATTCATTTTACTGAAAGTACAGTATACCCACGTAATTGTTACACTGACTGATTGAACTTAATCTGGTACACATTAGGAAAACATGCAATGTGACCATAGGACTACTCCAGCATATCTTGCCTCAGGATTTATCTACCAAATCTAAGCTGGTATCCAGCGCATCACACAGATTTGTCAATACCAGAGACTGGCAGTGAGCTCAGCTACCACAAAGATGCACAGAAAAAAATTAAACTCTAGAAAGGAATATGATACTGAAATCAGTCACAATGAAGTCTATTATGTGAATAGGCTGGTCTTTTAAAATGGACTAATTTCTCATTAACATTGACCAGCCTCCCTTTTCCTTAAAAGCAGATGGTTTATTTTTACCCAAACTATTTCCACCAACAGCAAGACTAAAGATTCCAAGACAGGTTTTGCAACGCATCCTGGAGCCCCTCCCTCAGAAAGTGTACAAGTCAAAACTTCAAAAGGTCCCAGGAAACCAGGTTTCTTTGGCTGGTTCCAAAATAATCCACGTTAACACAAGGACAGTTTTTGCTCAAGCAGCTTCAGTTGCCTAAAAAGGTTTGCCTTCTCATACAACTACCAAACATATGTTGCCATCATCTCTTGCAAATATTAGAATATCCTGGTATGCTTATAGAGAAAGCCAGGAACAGGGAAGTCCCTCTTATCTAAAGGTGAGGCTGAAGAAGATACTTTCCACAGCCATTATCCTCTGGCCTAATCTGACCAAAGGCACACAAGGCCAAAAGCACCAATGAATCCAGAGACATCAAGAATAGATTACACATATCAGAGCAGCAGCTTTCAGTGGGATGGAAAACATTTTTTTCCAAGAGCTTTTTACTCTTAAGGATGAGGTAATGTGACATAACAGAGAATAAAGAAACCACAAGTTCCAAAGTGAAAATAATTAAGCTTTTTGTGTGATCTAACAATACCTAAATGTCTGAAGAGCCTCTCTATCTATGAGCAATTACCCACAGAAATGCTAACAACTCTCTTGGATGGTACCAGATGACTGCACTGGAAACAGTAAAGATACTTTTGAATTCTAGCATAAGCCACTAAATGAACCGATCCCAAGATCCTTACATTGCCAACCAAACACTGTCACGTGGAACAAGATCCTGGGCTTAGCAATAAACCTGGCACGATCTCCAAAAGCCTTCCTTCTGACATCCCTAGAACACGCCTCATGGCAAACAAACCTAGTACAGCTTAGAAAAGTCAAACAAGAAGCCAGATTTAAGTAAGTTTTTTACTGATCTCTTTAAAACCCTAGAGAACAGAAAGAATTCAGCTTCATGTAAGCCTGACCTCAGTCATACATCTGAATTGGCCAGGAAGCTATTATCCCTAGCTTAGCCTGAATTTTGGGATGCCAGACAGAGCACTGTAAAGGATATATTTTACTAACAAACTTTTCCTCCACATTGAAAGAAGAGATTTTTCTATACAAAAGACTTTCTCATAGAGGTTTAAGGTCTCTAACTTTCAAGGGACTTTCAGTTCCTTTCTTGAAGAAGCTACAAGAAGATTTAAAGCCTTATTTATCCAATCTTTATGACCCTTTTACAGGAAAACCTACTTAGAAAGCAACTTAAAAGTCCTGCAAGCAAGACAACCTCTTGAATGCAAGGTCAGAGGTTGAGGATTTGATAGAGGAAAAGAAAGCAACCAGGCCCAACCAGTCATTCTGTGCGTGGTGAATACCCTTCAAGTTGAATTTCTGCTTTGAATAATTTAATTATTCAAAACTTTAATAGCTCCTCCCCCCTTTTTAAGAGAAAGATACATTTATTATTTGCTTATTTAATGAAGCGCTAGGAAAGCTTCAGGCTGCTATATACACCCTTTTTACTGCATGGCAGATTCCTTTGTTACTCATGGTAATGAATCCCACAGTTTTATCAGACGAAGAAATTTGAATGTAGGCTGTCATTCCAGAAGTAACACACTATAGATAGCACAGGCAATCCACACTAAATATGTGGCAATAATAGTATTTTCTTAACTCTTCAGCCTAGTTTTTATTGTTAATTACGTTAACTTTAGTTCAAGCAGTCCCAAAAAGCTATCAATTTGGTTTCATTATACACACCACAATTTGGAGGCATGTACTGTGGAGGCACACACTGGAGTGATATTAAACATTCAGAGTTTAACCACACCTGCAAAATCCTGTTGTTTACTTTCAGGTGAGCAGGACTGTCAGAGGGAATATACATACACATTGTAATGCGCTTATACCAGAAGTTACAAGCTTCCAGTGCATCCTCTCAAAAGTACTGATCTAGTTTAATTGCCTACACTTGCTGAAGTGAACAGCAGCAAGTCCAAAACCTCTAGAAACATAGCCTATATAAATTGAGCCTATTAAGTATATTTAATAGCAAGAACATCTTTAAGGTATTTGAAATGTGCTGTTACAGGCCAAAATCTACAAACTGTCCTGAATGCTGCATCAAATATTCTTACAAGGTCAAGATTCAGACTATGTTCCCATAATCCTTGCCCCCATCTTGGTCAAGTTTAAATGGATTTAAAATCAATTTAATTACACTTGATGTTTACTGGCTATTTTTATTTAAGACTTGGAGTACACCACATTACATGAAGATTAGCTAAAATAAATTCCTTAAGCTCAAGTGCTTCATTCCACCTTTTAAATTCAATTAAAGTTTCTTTTAAAAAAAAAAAGGAAAAAATCTTGAGTTGTTGGTGCTCAGTTATCAGAATCGGTGGGAAGTTAACTGTACAAGTGTACTACTAATTTTAAGAATTTCCTAAAGAGGACTAGAAAATAAAAGTGTACCATTTCACTCTTTTATTGTTAATGGTTAAAAAATTCAAAATAAAAAAACTTTTCACAACACACTGTTCATACACGTTTTATAAAATCAAATCATCAATTAAAGAGCAAATGAAAACAATTTTTTGAATTAAGTTCAGTGTAGCAGATGATAATTCCCCCCAAACACACTTCCAAAAGTCAAAAGTGTAGTTTAATTATTAAATTAATTAAACTACACTTCCAAAAGTGTAGTTTAATTATTAAATTAATTAAACTACACTTCCAAAAGTGTAGTTTAATTATTAAATTAATTAAACTACACTTCCAAAAGTGTAGTTTAATTATTAAATTAATTAAACTACACTTCCAAAAGTGTAGTTTAATTATTAAATTAATTAAACTACACTTCCAAAAGTGTAGTTTAATTATTAAATTAATTAAACTACACTTTTGGAAGTGTAGTTTAATTAATTTAATAATTAAACTACACTTTTGGAAGTGTAGTTTAATTAATTTAATAATTAAACTACACTTTTGGAAGTGTAGTTTAATTAATTTAATAATTAAACTACACTTTTGGAAGTGTAGTTTAATTAATTTAATAATTAAACTACACTTTTGGAAGTGTAGTTTAATTAATTTAATATTTTTTTTTTTTTTTAAAAGGGAGGATGTTTCATATATTGTAATATGAAATTGTGTTGCAAACTGTCTTTTCCTGTTAGAGCTACAGAAGCATGGGCTCTAGAACAGGTTCTCTTCCACACCATAAAGCCTCAAACAAAACATGTCCGTAACTTCAAATCAGGACACGCACTCCAAAACAGTTTCAGAGTTGTACACTCTCACTGATGGCCTGTGCACTAAAATTTGCACACTAGCATTACCGGCCATTTAAAATTAATGTTATGCATTTTTCTTTCCTGTAATGTCTTGTGGCTTTTATCGTCAAGATGTTATCAGTATCTTAAACCCAGGTTTTTGCAAGTGTCTTTTCAAAAACACCCTGAAGTAAGTAAATGAACAGCTTTCTGAGGGAGCTTCCCATGCCTATGTTTAGGGATAGAACAAGCAAAAGACAACCAAAAATCACAGTACAAGAAAAAACCTGGGCATGCAAGATAGACACTTTGTCAGGGTTAAAAAAAAAACCAAACAAACCAAAAAACCCACAACCAACTTTTCCTAAAGCAGAAATCGTTTCCTCCCGTACTGCTACCATAACAAATACAGAAGCCTTTCCAAAAAGAATAAAAGTTCTGAAAAACAAGCATAAGATCTTCTATTCAGGCAAGACTAGGAAGTACAGAATGATGTGAATGGAGGCCTCAGGGTGTTCCTCTTGAGACACTTGTGTCAGTCACAGAAATATTTGTCCTGAATTTCCAGCTCGATCATTTCAGGATGCTATTTAACATATTGCAAAATACAAGTCACTTAAACACACCAGAAGCTGAATCACCAAGAAACTAGATTACATCTGAAAATGGGAGCAGACATATGCAATATATTGACTTTTCAGGAATTTCAAGGCTGGACAAGACAGGGATGGGAGATGAAGAATCAAAACGAGTGCAGGAATATGTTTGCCTTTTATGTAACAGTCTCCTGGGTGATGACAAAAATTCCATTTGTTTAAAAATTTTAGATTAAAGAAATATTTTCTTTATGCTTAACCTTCTTCATGAATTGCTAAGAGACACAAAACTGGCTTTGCACCACCTTCTGATTTTAGGATTTACCAAATCACCTGAAAAAGAGAGAGGAATGTGTTGGGAAGGTGATGGGTAGGGAATATGGGGAGGAATGTGAGAGTTTGAAAACAGACCTAGGAGTTTTCCTAGGCATATTTTCTTCTTAGAAACTTCTATTAAGCAGCAAAGAAAAGGACATCATATCCATGAAGGGGAAAAACCAGCTTTCTTAACAGATAAATCTGTAACATCCTATATTATAAATGAAGATTCAAAAACTCTGGCTTTTATCTGAATGAAATCCCCAACTAGGCCTGTGTAAAGTGGGTGTTTGGGGAAGTAGTTTACTAACAGAAGTTAACTGAAAAGGTTCCTTCAGGCTCGCAGACGTCGAAGAAGCCTAGTGAGGATCCTATAGCAGCCTACAGGCTGATGAATAAGCCAGAGGGAAGCTCATATGTAAAATACTCCCACCTGGTTTTGGCACAGTCTTACTGACAAACCTAAACAGGAAAATCCTGAGCTGCAGTTTAATCAGCACACTGCACCTTTAGATAACATTTAAATGATGTCCCTCAATAATCAGTAATTTCTTCTGCAAAAGAACTTCAAGCTTGCTATAATGCTGTTTTCTTTGACTTACAAGGTTAAAGTCTAGAAAAAGGAAGGAGAGTGGAAAGAGGTGTTGAAAAAGATTGCTTCAGGCAGAAAGAAAACCAGATACTAAAAAAAAAAAAATCGACTTGCTGCCATACTGAAATTGGAGTGATGTGCCTTTGAGCAACTGGAGAATAGCTATATACTGGCTCAGGTACTCCAGCTGGTGTACCTGAGCCAGTTTTGAACAGGTAAGTTTGGTTCACTGGGCACTAAATGCTGGAGCATTTACCCAGCCTCTGGATCTAGCTTTGCTGAACGCTATGGTGCTATGCTTGCACTGATACTGGTATTCAAGCTAGCTAGTTTAAAGTTAACAAATGTACATCCATATAAGGTGTAGCCACACTTCACTGCAATATGTACATGCTCCAGGCCATAGAAAATGAAGATAAAGTTATTGAGCAACCCCTCAGAGGGTCTTAGCTGCATCCAGCCACATGCGAAAACTCATTCTGTTCACAGCAACTTTGTATCTGATGAGTTTTCTGTAAATTACTGCTAATGCTTATAAAGCTGTTGTATACAGGTATTGCCCATCTATATTCAAGTGAATAAGCCTCAAAGAAAGTAGTTAACCTGGCTGAAACTGTAAAAGTATTTCAAACAGTTAAGATCTGACTGAAAAGATTAAAGTTAAAAATCTTGCCCAAGGAAATTTCTAAAAGTATACTTCAATAATTTCTAAAAGACATATCAGATCTTATAAAAGAGCTGTCATCTGTCAGACAAAAATTAAGTGTAATCTGACCATCACAGCAGTAATTAAAACATTGAAATTAAGTATTAAGGGATCTGTTGCTCACTTTAAAGCAGAATGCTTGTTTCCAGTATGGTTGTATTTTCAGAGATGCCTCCCAATTTAAGAACCATGGCTCAACTCAGAGAGAAGTCACAATAATAGAAAACTGTAATTCAATTCCTGAATGCTTGGAATAAAGAATACTGAAGGTAAGAGTTAGATTTTCATAACCGTTCCCTTTTTCTATGTTTAAACATAGTACCTTTTCTGTTACCTATCTATCCATGCTAAGAAGGGAGTTCTTATCCCCAAAATATTTTTCTGGTTACTGTTTGGAAATCTGGAAAAACCGGATACAGCAATCAGTGACTATTATAATCCCTTCCATATTCAACATTCAATAACTCAGACAAGCTTGACAAGTATATATTTCAACAACAGCTATGATTATAGGTTTCACAGATATCACAGAGATGCATACTGTACATACCTCTTGTGCTAGTTCTTGTGCATTGGAGATGAGAGGATATGGAGGGCTGGCTTTGTTCATGTGCACTGTAACAGCATTGTGTATCTTAAATGCATTCTGAAAATCAGTATTTTGAACAAGCTGTAAAATGAGAGAGATATCCTCTTGGCTCTGAGGGTCTACCAAAACGTGCTGGATATGCTTAAGAGAAGTTAACAGTTCTTCCACTTCTAGGTAGGAAATAACAAAATACAAATAGGTACGAGTTAACAAGATTCATAATTAAGTGATGTTTATATTAAGATTTTTACCAAAATTTTTTGCCGTTCAGTTTTTAATCAGCAATGATGGATGCAAATTTTTTAGTTATCCATTACTGACTCTGACTTTTATTAGCAGAACGTATCTGAATCAAAAAAAGACCTCAAGTCGGTAAAAGGAGAAATAATGATACACTGTTTAAATTTAAATTCCTATTGCAGGAGCAGTTCTTCTCTGAAAGAAGTCACTGATACGTAAAAGATCCAATAATTGCAGCTCACGTATAGCTAAATGGGAAAGAGGGACTATTTTGCAATGTGGAAATAACTCCTTTGCTAAACTAATGTTGATGCACTGAGTATTCACTGTTATTTTGATACATCTTTCCATGTGTATCTGCCACATATGGCAGATATATCTATCTCAACTAAATACTGCTTACTTATAGAGTGAGTGTTTGATAAGTAAACTACACTCAATTTCTAAACATAATTATCCTCAGTCTTAGCACATTAAAATAGAAAGGTAAGGATGAAAAAAATATCTATGGTCAGAGTTCTGAAAGTCATCTGCACCAGAAGAAAGTTCACAACTTTTACCTTTGAGATTATGAGTTCTGCTTGGACCATAAAATATTTTAACGTATTTTAATAACCAGTTTCTACATGTTTGCAGAATACTATACATATACTACATTCTTGAGCTTCAAGAACTAATCTGATGCTTCAGGGGTGCTTTTTGAAGACTGTCAACAAAATTACATTTTTTTTAAACCAATCTGAATTTCTGCAAAATGTCACTTCTCAATATTAAGTACTTGAGAAATTATCTAAAACAAGGAATATGAATCATACCTATAATGCATATAAACCCAGGTAAGAAATACTCAAGCAGACCAAAAAAGCAGTGGATGTTTTGAGCCTGAAATAATGTATGCATTCTCACACATTATCTGAAAAAAAATCTGTTCAGCCACAAGAGGCTGGTCAGCTGACTTTTATTTTAATAAATTCAAGCAAGCTAGAATTTTGAATCCTGGTATTTTAAAAAAATGAACAACAAAGAAAATCCCAAATTTTAAAACCATCGGTTGATACTGAGGTCAAATCTCCCTTACTGGTATTAAAATATCAGCTTTGAGAATTATTTTTAAGTTTTAGCAACCTTCATTTATTCATTATGAGCTAATTAAATAACATTAAAATAGGAATGCTATCAAGACATCAGCTAATTTGCATTTTTACATGAAAAATCACAGTAGATACTGATCACTAACATGGACGCATTCTGTCAAGTTTCCTTTACCTATTTTTAACCTCAAATTCACCAGTACACTAACACAATGCTAAACTCAAACTTGTTGAGCACAAGATTAAAATGGTTGATAAATGGGCACATGAAAACCATAAAGCCTAATAAAATACGCATTTCAAACAAGTTTAATGGCTTTAATTTTGGACAAAGCATACCTACATATATGTTTTCAATTCTGAGTTTGCAAGTCAGTCTTCTGTATAATAAAAGGAAACAATCCAAACAATACAAATACTCTTATACTTTACTGTCTGCAGGACAATTAAAAAGAAAAAAAAAAACACAACACCCCCTCCAAAACCATTCCACACATGCCAAAAACATCCTACCCACCAAAGGTCAAGGACTTCTTCCTGTAACCACCAAGGAAACAAAGGGCAGTAGTACAAAAGCTGCACGGAAAGCTCGGATACCGGCTGTGCAGGATATTCCACAGGTGAAATCCAGTACAGCTCACAAAAGTAATTAAGGCAGCCAATGTCTCACTAGGGAACTGTATACACAGTATACTGCCTATCACACAGGGGGAAATGCCATTTGCAGAGAAGGCTAAAGAACACTCTACAAGCAAGAATATTTGCTAAATAGGATGTTGTCAGCTGGCAAATGTCTTGCCTAGTGGAGTATGCAGACTACCAAAGCGTCTCAGCAACTGACTCTCCCAAGTCTGAGGAAGTCCACTATTTTCAAGCATTAAAAAAAAAAAGTAGTGTAAAACAGTCAGCTGTTACTGTAAAGTTCCTACTGATACCTGCTCAGTTAAACATACAAACCCAAAATTCTGCTATTTGTTACTGTTACCGGATTCAAAAAACAGTGAGGCATTAGAGAAGAACCTAACTTCTTCTAACTCTTCCTATGAATAAATTACTTTATTCAATTATTTCTGAATTGTCTATCCCCACTTATATGTCTGGAGAATTCAAATGCATACACACATATGTACACACACCATTCTAATACATATTCCATATAAGATAGAAATACATATAGAAAGACAGACATCTTATTCTGTATCTATAATAAAGACGTCCTGTTCCTAGATGCCTCTATATATTCTCTTTTCAGCACTTTGCTAGTTCCTTCTGTGTCGTCCTTTCTTACAAACTACCACAGTACTCTCCTCCCCATATAATTCCCTTCTACACTGAATCTTCATCTGTGCTGGACGCAAAAGCCCTATACCAAACGATTTCCCCCCACCATGAAACAACAAACAAATACCCCCCTCATCATGATTCTAAAAGAGAAATAATCCTTGAAAGGAGTGAAATGAAACATTCCCCAAAAGCTAGCAATCCATTTCCTAGTCACTTGTTTAATAACAAAACCATACACACAAAACCACATACAAATCTGGCTTTATGCATGCCTAACTCTCTCAGGGTTCCTGTTTCTGAATTCTAAATCACAGATTAGACTTCAGTGCAGGTTTTTTTGTTTGGTTTTGGTCTTCATAAAAAAAAAATAAATGCCAGGTAACAAAAGACTCCATCTCTAGACATTTCTTATTGAAAGAGTTGTCTTAAGGGAAAAAAGTTCAGTAAAAGACTAACATCTGCATTTACTCACAGAAAAATGTCAGGGTTCTTTTGCAGAACAAGTCCATATTTTAATCGCAGCTCAATTAGCAATCAACTACTTTTTTTTTAAAAGTCTTCTTTTACAAGAAGTGTTGCAGCCTTTTTTCATCAGGCTATGAAATGGCTGGAATGTGACTGAGCACTGTGTGATATACGCATTAATCAAAAGGCTGCCAGGGCAAAAGTACGCAACTGCAGGGGAGGACCCGTGGTCACAGCTTAACAGATTAGATTAGAAAAAGAAGAAAAGAAAATTGTTGCTGTTTATCACCTTAAACAAAAAGATATGAACAGCAAACTTAAGATGTAATTGGCTTTATTATATGTCAGCACCAACATCTTAATTCCCAGGCTTTTTTATGGATCTCTAGAGTACTCTACATGCTGGTACTAGCACTCTAATGCTCCATATATTACTTGACTCACAGGGCTAAGAAAAGTACTGTTTTATCCAAAACCATTTCTGAAAGTTTATTTACATTTATAACATATTTATAAGTTTTGCCCAAGGTATAAAAACAAAAAATAGGCAGTTTTTCCCCTAAAAAAAAATTTCACTGTAGCCACAAAAGGTTTACTTCGATGAAATGTCAGTTACTTGTTTAACAAAATTAACTGAATTAGCTGAATGAACTGCAGGAAGCAAAAAATCTTCTGCATTTTATAGAAGTATATTGCTGTGAAAAAGCCAGTTAAATGCTTATATGCACATGTTCTAGGTGCGCATAAATTTTTTCCATTAAGACAGCTGTCTAAATCATATACTGTTTTGATAACAAACATGCCCTTTAAAATTGTTTTGATTAAGTGTCCTGTTTTATTTTTATAAATAAAATCCAATTTGTTTAATCTAGTCTGCTTTTTTTTTTTTTTAAGATGAAAAGATTAAGGACTTGGCAAAGATCTGCCAAATTAGACATTGGCACTTATGAAATATTTTCAAAACTAAAAATACAGACAATCAGGTCAATATTCTTATTTAACACACATATCTTTAGAAGAGGCTCTATGGATTAACACACCAAAAAAAACCCACAAAAAAGCAAAACTAAAATCAATATTTTAAAAAAGACTGAATAAGGGTAGTTTAACATCTCTATAATAGCACCTGCCAAGTTTTATTTGGGGTTCTCCTAACAAAGCTTAGAGATTTGTGAAAGAGACTAAGCACTCTCACCTGGACAGCAAAAGTGGAAAGACAGAAAGAGTCAGGAGCAGTGTAGATCAGAAATTCAGTATTGTAGATCAGAAATTCAAAACCAGTAAAAAAGACTGAATAAGGGTAGTTTAACATCTCTATAATAGCACCTGCCAAGTTTTATTTGGGGTTCTCCTAACAAAGCTTAGAGATTTGTGAAAGAGACTAAGCACTCTCACCTGGACAGCAAAAGTGGAAAGACAGAAAGAGTCAGGAGCAGTGTAGATCAGAAATTCAGTATTGTAGATCAGAAATTCAAAACCAGACAAAGTGCAAAAAATTTCACATACTAGCAGTTATTTTTTGGACAAAGTCATGGGCTAGCAAGTTTTTTGGAGACCAAAAAGTTGTATATGTAAATTTTAAAAGATCTTAAAGATCTGGCCTCTCCAATTCAGGTATTCAATAAAAAAGCAGAAGGATTAACGATAATGGACTCAAATCCTCCCTATGAAACCATATTATTTTGTAAGTGTGCATATGTGTGTGTGTGTGTATATATATTCATAAGGCAACATCCCTAGCCCTGATACTAACCAGGAACAGAGAGCTTTCAGAATAAAAAAAAAATTCTTCTTTTGAAATTCAGCCGAAGTGTCAGATGTTAAAATGATTAATCGAGAAACTGGAAAAAGGACATGCTTAATAGTGGAGAAAAATTCTGGAAGATGCCAAGTTACTACAGAAGCACTTCGTTAAGTTTAAAATTATGACTCAGTTTTTGACAGCACTAATGACAGAACAGAGATTCTTTATAGGCTACACAGGTTAAGAGATCACAGCATTTCATTTAGAACATTTTTTTTTCAAGTTTGCAACAACTCAACATCACAGTTGAGTATACTCAAAAGCACCACTCTGAACAGGAGTGCTAAACTATTATAAATCCTCTCTTCTTAAATCTTAAGTCTACCTGATCCAAATTGTCACTATAATTCTGTCTGGCAAGGAAATAACAGTAGTATGTTTGCATGCCTGTCAATATTATGTCATGACTTCTCTGATTGAAATAGATGCCTCTGAAGCCCTAATTCAGCTCCCTGGTACATATATGGATATAACATGATTTAGTCTAATTACATCTCCTAAAGCTCCTTGCCTTTCTAGCTCAAAGAACAGACCATATTCACTCAGCAAGCTAGTCAATGCTTCTGCTCTATGCACATACTTTTAAGCTTTAGTCACTGCAATTCAGAGTAGAGACAGACATCGTTAGTTTTCTGATTTTCATGGTATCCAAACACTGAGGGGAATGGCTTTAATTAAATCATGCAATTTACTACTGTGTTTTTACAGAAATATGCTGATAGCAGAACAATGACAAGACCCAAGCTTCGATTACAAAAGTGAAGAGGAGTCTGACCACGTGATTTCATCCATGAGGAAATGACAAGACCCAAGCTTCGATTACAAAATTGAAGAGGAGTCTGTCCTCATGGATGAAATCACGTGGTCATTCTCCCTTCAAGGTACATCTCATACCATATATTGCTATTTCCTAATTTACCTCTTTCCACATACACACCTCTATATTCTTGTCTCCAGTTTAGGGTTTTTCTTCTTACATCAAGTATTCACACAATCCTAGCTTCCATTCACACCAATTTCCCCCCTTCTCTTCTTGCTGACCCAAACCTAGTTTCCTCCTTCCAGCTATTCACAAATATTGTCTTTCTCTGACAATCTCTCAGCTTCCCCCGCAGCCTGTACCCATTTTATCCCCACACAGAGATTTTCAAAATAGCCTTTTGTCATCACAGTAATTTCTCCACCACTGCCTCTCCTGTTCAAACAGCTTCAGTCTACCCCAGCTCCTTACTGGTTCTCAAGCTTGTCAGACCCATCCTCATTATTAATTTCTCTCTTTCCTACCAGCTTCCATGCCTAGCTTCTTTACCCATTGGTTTCCACCTAGCCCTCCCTCCAAGTTCTCAGCAACTCTGGCATGAAACCTAGCCTCAGCTTTCTAATTCCAAGTCACTCTCTTTCCTCCCTTCTGTAGTTCCAGTTTCCAGTTCTTGTAGTCAGTCTTCAGAGCTTTTAGCCACTGTGGCTAAGCAAGTCCCAATAGAAGTTGCTTCTACTGTTTGACGTCAATCTTTGCATCTTCTGCTTTGTGTTCTCTCTAAGAAGAGAATTTCACAATCAAATATCTAACACTTCATAAAGTTAAGTACAGAATCTGCTTCTTACAAAAGATCTCTTGGACAGAAGCTGAGAAGCCCTACACTAAAACAAGGTGCACCTGCCTTGTTCACAACTGACCCTGCTTTCAGCAGGAGGTTGGACGGGATGACTTCCTGACTACCCTTTCAACCTAAATTTTCCTAAAGAGGGATTTGTACAGTAAGGATTACCAAAGGTCATGGAATAGAGCTGTGTCTTTAGCAGAAATGCTGCTCGAGCACACAAATACTAAAGATGAAGCAAAAAAAAATTAGCAATTTGATATTTATTTTTCACTCTGTGTTCTCAACTACCAGCCAATAGGAAAGAATAGCAAGAATCTTTAGTGCAGCCCAAAAAAAGGCACCTTTTTAAAGCAGTCTGGATCTCAGAACAGGTATAGATTTGGAAATCTGAACTGGACTCCTACAAATTCCCGGTGCCTCTTTTTCACTCCAGTGACGCACCACATTTTAGATAAATAGATACTTATGTTTGAAGAAAGGTTAGAAGCTTCTACACGAGCATAGTTAAAGCAATGACAGCTATGAAATGAACAATTTCAGAATCTATTTCTTCAAAAATTACTAACATTACATTTTCATCAATGTCTAAGTGCCGAGGTAAGCAGATTTTCACTACCAACACCAATACTTTAAGAGAAAATGTAAATTATGCTAGGTGACAATTGATAATGCAAGACAGCCAGAATAAGAAGAAACCACCAGCATGCTTCTCTTTAAAATATTAAAAACTCTTGCATTTTTATTTTAAATGACAGTAAGTTGCTTATTCTGGTCTGTGCCTCAAACATAATAAAATTGGGTATTACTTACATGGTTTTCCCCAGCCTAAAGAGGATGGAGATATCCAGTGAATTCGTTAGTTATCTACAGGGTATTTAACTGTTCCCCAAATGGATCGGTTTTGAAAAGCTACTTGCTGAGGCACATGGCCTGATGCTTTACTAAATAAACAAAAAACCCAAACCACCACAAATCCAAAGGACCAGAAGATTTTAAATCTGTATAGGAAGAATTTGCTAAATTAGGTTTTCAGTGGCCTAAAAGAACATTAGTATCAACTAAATATTTTCTCCATTAGCCCATTCATTGCATTTTACCTACCTACTGTCTTCACAGTATAATGAGGGCTCTCCAAAACAATTCCTTCTTCTGTGTCAAATATTGGATTATCTATTCCAGTTTTAGGAGGAATTTGTGCTAGTTTCTTTAGCCTCATGGAAGCAGTAAGGTCCAGTTCTTGTTTCTTTCCCTCTTCTTCCCGTCTGCGCCTTATGTCCTCCTGCTGCTGACGGATTCGCTCAAGTTGAGCGCTCCGCCGCATGGGCATCATCCTGGAGCCCAAATCCCCAGGGCAATCAACAGCCATTTCTCTGTGCTTCTGAGGTTCCTCAGGAAATGCAAGATCCACATTTTTTGCTTCGCTGTCAGAATCTTCTGTGAGATGTCCATTTATATGAGAAGTTGTCATGATTATTTGTAATTATGCTTATTCTCTTCAAACAGAAATGCTGCTATTAGGCCAGTTTTTGTTATGATGTTGCGTAAAATCCATTATAACTTCAAAAATATTTCCCTTCCATCACGAGACAGCTGAAGAAACATCCAGGAAGAAAATCTAATGAAAGATATTCAAAAGAAGCTAGTGAATAACTGCATTAATAAGAAAACACATAAGAGTTCTTCAGGTCACCAGTCATCAGAACAACAGAACTTTTCCTCCACATTTACAGTGCTTCTTCCCCTACTAAGAACTACAGAACCCTCACAAATCTGTTTCACGCATTTTAGTAAAGTTCACATGCCAATGTTAGAAAAGGAGTACTGTTCGAACTAATGCTAAAGTCTCTTACATTTCCCAGTCAAAGCAGTGGAGATTCAATTCACACACACAATTGCAAATCAGCAGTTTTCTGAAGGTTCCCACTCAATTTTAATTTATCCTTTCATTCTTAAAAATTCCAACACAAACCATGCTTACGATCCTACAAACACTAAATATGAATAACTTGTTATAAACAACATGTTCACAAAAAGTTTAGTAAGTTAAACACAGGTAAAGATATTTCCATTTATTGTTCATAAATTGAGGCATTTTTATGTAAACATTGCTTCCCAGGTTCAGAGAAGACAGGTCTGGCATAGAGTTCTTCCAAAAGATACTATCTAAAGCAGTCTGGAGCTGCACTTAGAGAGTTCCAAGTAGGGATAAAGTCCTAGGATAAGGGTTGGAGAGTTCTGGTTAGCAGCTACTCTTAATACTTCCTGTAAGTATGCATTAAAGCAGAAAGGATTAAATACAAGAGTAGAAATCCTTGTGTGGGCGTACAGAGGTATAGATTTGACAGAGAACAATAATTAATTTCCACAGTCAAGTAGTGACATTCCACTACACTTCTTACACCTTAATCTGGTTTCTCATTCCTGATGATTCAAGCTAAAGATCTTAAGTGTCCTGATAAATATAACCACTCAGCTCTTAAATACATATAAAAATGTTTTATACCACATTGCCTTTCTGTATCACAAAGCCGATGATGTATTATCCTCAACATGTCCAATTAAAAGGTCATAAAATTAATAAATAGTTGCATACAGTATTACCAATACACTTAATTTTTCAAGTTTCTTTTTATCATTTTCTTTTTATTTACTGAAAGGAAATACTACAAAATATCTCAAAGTTTTATTACACACTGGAAGCACCGAGAAAAAAAAACACAAAAAACCAACCAACTTTCTTAAACCAAATGTTTGTGTTTGGAGGAGGAAGGGAAAGATGCTTATGTGGTAATTAAGTTGAAAATTAAATATCAGTAGTACTGTTTTGGAGGAGCAGCAATAGAAACTCCTACACAGGTTTCTGCCATCTTGCAATTCTAAATAAGTACAGCTTTCCATTTTCATAAGGAGTAGTACATAGCTACATACAGCAACACCAAAACAATTTCCTTTACTTGTTTCCTGACTAGCCACTACTACCAGTTATTACTAATATCTTCCAAGAAATAAATATTAAAGCATTTCTGTGGTTGTAAAAATTCTTTTTTGCCTTTAAAAGATACTTAATTGCACTGCAAGGGTATGTAAAAATTATTTCAATGCTCAACATTCCCACATTCAGAAAAAATTCAGGCAACAAAAAAAGTCCATCAAAAGCTGCACAGTAGTGGGGCTAGCAGTGCAAGTACAGCACAATTATTTGGCGCCTGTAAAACTTTCAGTTAGTGCCCAACTTAAAAAGAACAGCTTTCCAAAGAATAAAGTCACATAAAGTTAGCATTCAGACAGGATTATATAAAGCACCATATGAAAAAATGGTCTCTGAAATTCAGAGAAAGGCAGATAACAATTTAGCAAAACGATCCTCAGAAAGCCACACTTTCCCTTCTGTAAAGGCAACTTCACTGTACAGAAATACCAATCCCCAAAAAGGAAGTCTCACTGGGTACAATAAAATTGCAAAGAGCACTAATTTAACTGTGGGTGGAAGATAATTCAAATTCTCTTTCATCCACATTGTACTGGCCATAGCTTGTCTGAAGACTGAGCCTTTTGAAAGTTACATTCATCTTTTTTCAACTCTGACAAGCTGAAAGAAAACTCACATTCCTCAGTCCATATTGGTACAACTAACAGGTGTCGAAACAATTTGAGGGAATGAATAATATCCATTTACTCAGCACTAAAGAAGTCAAAACCACTATCTGAGGATATGCAAGAAGTAAAATGCAACTTTAATACCACCATCGTAACACTCAATCATGTGTAAGCTAAATAATGTCACACTCACTAAAGATAATCTACACATCAGAAAATGAAGTTGATGGCCAATATTTAATAACTGATCAAAAATATTTAAGGTGGGATTAGCTACATTTCCTCCATCAAATTTAAAAGTACTAGCTACCTAAGACAAAGAGTATCTTTTGAGGTGAAGTCAGAAAAAGGGCACAAACTCATGTATCTGTATATAGAATGAGAAGTTTTTAAATCTCTTTAGTTTAGTAATAAGCACTGGAGACCAGAGAAACAAAAATATAGTCTGAGGTAAATATTAGTAATAGGCAACCATTAGTACATTGCTTACATTTTCAGTATAAGCTGCATGGCAAAATGCAAAGGGTATATAAATTCGTGGAACAGAGTAACCAAGACATTTAAGTGGCCTGTGATAACAGCTGTTCACTTCCAGTATTTAAGATCTGAGTTAAGTCAGTTAAGAAAGAAGCAAAAGTTATAGAAAATTAGAGTTCTCCTGCAGTCACACTTTAACAGCAATATTCAGAAAACTGGCATCAAAATTTAAGAGAGTTTTAGGAAAATTCTAAATAGAAAGTATTTTTGATATCCCAGAAAGTTAGAAGTCTCTGAAGCAAGCAATAAACAGTACAGGAAAAGTAATCACACACAGATAATACAAAAGATGATATGAAGTATCACTTATCAGGCAGCCTACAATTTAATGTTACCAAAATATCAAACCAACTCCACAAAAACCCGACCCCCCAGATACAACTAGTTGGTATCCATAAAAGCATAGGCATGCTACGAGTCTGGAATGCTGGAACAACTTCCTTTAATCAAAGAACTTCTGAAAACAGGTGACCCCTTCCAAACCTAAGCCCACTGTTCTTTCTGCTGTCTCAAATCTGCTTCAGACATCACAAATCCTCATCTCCAACAATTTTGGAAAAATGCTACTGCCCAATTGCAACAAATGAAATAAGCACAAAAGGAAAAAAATCAGATCGTCTCTGAAGTCCCTCTCTACAATGGTCCTAAGGAATTTAAAAGGTAAAATATGACACTGATAAAATGTTAACTCGGTCCTCAAATTAAGGTGTGGTGTAGCTGAGGTTAAAAATAAGATTCAGCTTGAGGCAGGCACCAGGAACAGAAAATTTTATTCTAACCAATAAGCATGGCATCAAAAGCCTTATGATAAATAATTCCAGAAACAGTTTTCTTCGCTCTTCTTTCTGAAGGTTTCTTTTGCAATTTTAAAAATCCCAAGATAACAACAATAAGGGAAGGTTGTTATACCAAGTCTGTTCTCTGCAGGTTGTGGATCATCCAATAAACCAGCTTTTCAGCCCAAGAGGAGCTTATTTTGTTACATTAGTTCTTATACTAAGGAGGAAAATTTAGGGACATACTCAGTAATACTCATTTTTACTACATCGTATGTAAAATATATAGAATAATATTTGGAATTAACAGAATTCTTTTCCATTTTAGAACTTGGTATTAGCAGTTTTTATACTCTTTAGGTATGTACAAGTCTCTGTGTTACACAGTTTGGTTGCTCAAAGTTTAATAGGGTTAAATTGTGGCTTTGACTGTCTTCCTTTGAACTGCCGATATCCAACAGGGGAACCTTAGCATTTCCACATGACATGTAGATCTGTCCACATAAAGCAGATTTATGACTGTTTTCTGTCCAACTTCATATCACAGGTCTTACCAATATGGTCACGGAGAGAACATGTGAAAGTCTCTTCTACACAGATTACTTTTACTGTTCAAATTTTTGCCCTACTATGCTGGTTTGGGCTGGGATAGTTAATTTTCTTCACAGTAGCTGGTGTGGGGCTACGTTTTGGATTTGTGCTGAAAGCAGTGTTGATAACGCAGGGATGTTTTCGTTACTGCTGAGCAGTGCTTACACAGAGTCAAGGCCTTTTCTGCTTCTCACACCACCCCACCAGCGAGAGCAGGCTGGGGGTGCACAAGAAGTTGGGAGGGGACACAGCCGGGACAGCTGACCC